TAAATTGGATGGTTTATTTATTTATTATCCTAGGGTTTTATCTTGATTAATCCGGATTGACTCATGTTGTACATTTAATTTTAGTGGGTGAGTCTTTCAGCGAGAATATTCTATATACACGAGATCTTGAACTCGAAACATACTTAAGTGATATCAAATTATTTACCACTTGAATCAACTCCGTTAGATATTTTTCTTTTTTCTTTTAGGTCTTTGGGGGGTTGAAATTGTGAACAATGGCAACAACTGGCTAATTCTAAAATCAATATGCCTTTGGGCGGACATTTGAGGGGAAAAGGCTGACTATGAATTTGGGATTTTGGAATAAACAAAACAAAAATAAATAATTAAAAAAAGGACCAAAAAAAACTAAGGGTAAATTGTATATTTAGTATACTAACTATCACTTTTTGTCCTATTTTGGTCACTTAACTATTTTTCTTAAATCATACCTAATGTTTATTTTTAGTCGCCCGATTGTTAAAAAATTAATGATGATGCTGATGTGTCACCATAATATAATGTCATGTATGTAGTTTTGTTAAATATTTAACAACAGATTACCAAAATGAAATCAAAATGTAATATTAGATATAATTTTAAAAGAAAATAATAATTGAATAGCTAAAAAAGAATAAAAATGATATTTGAGATACTAAACATATAGTTTATGCCAAAACTAAAGACTAGATGAGGTTTGAATAGGCCTGTAAACGAACCGAACGCACACGAACGAAGGTATGTTCATGTTCGTTCATTTAATAAATAAACGAACATAAACGAACACGAACATAAACAAACAAAATTTTTTTTGTTCATGTTCGTTTATTAAGGAATATGACTTGTTCATGTTCGTTCATTTAATAAATAAACGAACATAAACGAACACGAACATAAACGAACACGAACATAAATGAACACGAACATAAACGTTGGAGACCCTACCTTCCATTGTTCTTTCATGAAAAATAGTCGACAATGCAAATCAACCAAATCTACAGTGATAAATAGCGTAAGAGCTTATTAGCAGTGATGAAATGTTTGAAGATATCAAATATTTCGATCGATCTTTTAAAGATATTAAATGATTCGCACGACTTTAATTTAACGCTATAATATTTATCTTAGTGTTCCATGATTACATATGAACAATCATTTTCCGCTATTACACTCTTTTTCAGAAATTGCATAGAAACATTTGTTTTGTTTTCTGGCAAATTCTATATATTTTTCTTTTTACTGATGCTCATATACTTCCGATTTTTACCTTTATCTTCCCATCTATTTCTAGAAAGAAGTATTATGTTTTCTTGAGTTTTAGATGTGAAGATACCCACAATAACTTTACATATAAACTATTAAGTCAAATAAAACAGAGAAAGATGAAAACAGACATGTAAAACTTCATATTGCACTATAATATAACTTGTTTTGAATCTTTCAGAGATCGTCTCCACTCTCCAGTGAACAATAAGATTTGGGAAAAAAAGGGGAAAATGAATATAAGAGCGAGGTGCCTCACAGGTTAACATATTGGATTTAATCTCCAAATAAAATTAGGTTAATTATGGAGTTGGTCATCAGAATATTAGATTAATATTTTTAAGATACTTACAAATTGGTCACCAAAATTGATTTAAGAAGATTGGGTTAAACATAAATGAATGAACATAAACGAACATAATCGAACGAACATAAACGAACATAACCAAACGAACATAACCGAACGTTCACGAACCTAAATGAACGAACGAAACCTATGTTCATGTTTGTTCATTTAATTAAACGAACAAAAAATCTTGTTCATGTTCGTTCATTTAATAAATAAACGCACATAAACGAACTTCCCGCCGCACGGTTCATGAACGGTTCGTTGAACGTTCAGTTCATTTACAGGCCTAGGTTTGAAAGTGGGCGATTCCCGCTTTGAACATGAGAAAAACAAAAAGAGAATCTCAAGTTCAACAATAATAAGGGTAACAATTTGGATAAATTGATTAGAGGCGGATTCGTCTAATTGTTAAATTAAAATTATCATTTATTTTAAATATATATATATTTTTTATTAAAATTTTATTTTTTAATTTTATCAATTATTAAAATTTCAGAAGTTTACATTTAATATAAAATTATTTATCTGTCCTTGTTAACAACCCTTTTAATTATATTAAATTATTTAATAGATTAAAAATAAAAAGCTATTTTTGATATATAAATTCTGTAATATTTATTTGTTTTTAAAGTAACGAAAAATAAAGATGCAAATTATATATTATACACGTGTATGAATCTCTCTGGATATATAATAGATTAGGTCTTCATATTCTACATTGGCTGGCACGTAGACCAAATGATTGTTTCATGACTTTTTTATTTGCTACACTTTTCGTGGTAAGGAAAAGGTGGAACTAAAGCAAATTACATAAAAGCAGGTTTGTATGAAAAAAGTATATATCTATATGTCTAATTATATTATGAGGATCCTACTTTTATGCCCTTTTCAATTTAATGTTTCTATAGAATTTAAAGCATTACATGAATAAACGATAAAGTTAATCGAGATTCGAAGATGATGTATCCTTATAATCTCCCTCGATAATCCACAACGATAATGTCTGATTATATGATCTTATAATCTAACTTATTTCTTCCGTATCCTTCTTGCACAATAAATATGAATTATCATTAATCATGTATTATCGAACTCTTTCTGTATTCGTTAGAAATTGATTATAAACCAACAACCATAAAAAAACTCAAATATGTTGAGATATATATAATTTTCATACAGTTCTCTACTACACAATATATATTAGTGTTATTTCAAAATATTCGATTTAAAATGATATAAACTCAAATTTTAAAATTAAAAAAAATCAAAATCACTTTGTATTAAAATCTATCGGATTGAACGAGGTAATCAATCTTTGTATTTGAGAGAGTTGAGTAATATACAATGATGAATGAACTCGAAGAAATCGGCGACAAGGTGAGTCATAGGTTGAATACGCGACGACCCAAAAATACATTTTACAGCACCGTTTGCCCAAAACCGTATATAAAATTCCAAATTTTCCATTTTCCTTTCCTATTTTTCCACTCGTCACCCAGGAACCAAAATTTATACCCTTTTCTTCCATTCTCAGTTCCCAAACAAAATAATAATAATTAAAAAAAAATTCTCTCACTCAACAGACAACATTTCTTTTGTTATATAAAAAATTGGGTAAAGTATATAAATAATCCTCAAACTTTTAGAATACTTATATTTTGGTCATCCAACTTTTAAAACTTACAATACAATCATTAAACTTTTAGTTAGTTTTTGATAAGTTCTACACCGTTACCTTTCGTTAGTTTTATATGACGTTGCACTTACATGCCGTTAACCCCTTCTTCTTCTTCTTCTCATGTATGCCATTGTTTTGTGCATTAACAGTAACGTCGGAGAAAAATAAACTCGATATTTCCTGGTTTTGAAGAAAAAAAATATGAATTTTGTGTAATTTAGTTTACTGGAGCTTCAGTTTGTGCGTAAACAAGTTAAAGGAGTAAAGAACTAAAGTGGGTATCACTAGATTTTGCGTAAAGAGAAAATTTGGTTCAATAGGGGTTGTTCCTGGTGTTGAAATAAGTGTGCATAAACAGTTAACGTTGGAGAAAAATGAAGTGGGTATTTCCTTGTTTTGAAGAAAAAAAAGTCCGAATTTTGTGTAATTTGGTTCACTAGAGCTTTAGTTTGTGTGTAAACAAGTTAAAGGAGTAAAGTACTGAAGTGGGTATCACTAGATTTTGTGCAAAGAGAAAATTTTGGTTCAATAGGGGTTGTTCCTGATGTTGAAATCGGGGACATTTTCTTCTTCCGGTTGGAGTTGTGCTTATTGGGGTTGCATGCTCAGTCCATTGCTGGGATTGACCCCATGCCTATGAAGGGTGATTTAGAGGGGGAGCGAGTGGCTGTGAACATCGTTTCAGCCGGAGGGTATGGTGATGATGTCGAAGATCCTGATGTTTGGGTATACACCGGTCATGGTGGGAATGCCAGTGGTGATAAAGAAGCATCCAATCAGAAGCTTGTTAGGGGCAATCTTACTTTGGAAAGGAGCTTACACCAAGCCAATGAAGTAAGAGTCATTCGAGGTTTTCAAGAAGAAGAAGAAGAATCCCAACTGCTGTTATTTCTGTATTTCACTTCATCAAATCCCAAAGGTATATATTTCTTTCTCTTGGCTTTCATTTTTCTGGGGTTCTTTGCTTCTTTCATTCTATCTAATATGTGCATCTGTCAATACAGTTTATGGACTATGTACCCCCTTTCTTTTTTGTTGTTTAATATGAAATTTGTTGGTTTTTTTCTGTTGAAGATTTTGTTGTTTCTATTTTGAATATGCATCGATTTAGAGATTCTAAGGGTGGGATGGAACAATTTGATGTTTATAATGTGAGGCATACACCAACTATTGCTTTTTACTTGGTTATTAGCTTTCAATAGTATCCTCTTCATCCTTATCTAGCATAACAGGGAAGAAATGCTCATTATTTGAAGCTGCTACATTTTGATTAGTGTAAAAGGAATGGTTTCTTTAATAAGTTTTATTATGTTCTCATATATAGTTTCTAAATACATGGTTGAAGAAGAAGAAGAAGAAGAAGGGGGTAACGGGAGGGGTTAACGGCAGGTAAGCCACTTCAGATAAAACTAAGGGGAGATAACGGCTGGATCTAACCGAAAACAAACTAAAAGTTTAGTGCCTGTATTGCAAGTTTTAAAAGTTGAGTGATCAAAATACAAGCGACCTAAAAGTTTGGGGACTATTTATTTACTTTACCCTAAATAAGTAAACAAACAATTCTCTTTACCCTCCCTCCAATCTCTATATATTCCATTATGAGATCAATCGCTTGCCTTGCTCCTCATTTCACCATCCTTTAATCATCTTCAACAGACATAGAAGAGGGGGGGGGGGGGGAGGAATCCCAAAAGGGAATTTAGAGAGAAAAAGAAGGGATCAGAAATGGATTTGGTTGATCCTGAAATAAGCTTGGATTTTAGACCAACTTTCATACCAAAAACGATCACTAATTTTCTTAAGGAAGTTTCACTGATGGGAAATGTTTCTGACAAGGCTTCCAAACTGAATTCAATTTTGAAAGGATTGGAAGAAGAAATGAAGAAAATCGATGCTTTTAAACGTGAACTTCCTCTTTGCATGCTTCTTCTGAATGATGGTTCGTTTCTTCAATCAATCTTAACTTGTTTTTTAGTCGTTTTGACGTTTCATTGAACTTATTTAATGCAAAGTTTTGATTTTGTGTTTGATTGCAGAGATTGTAGCTTTGAAAGAGGAGTCGGTGCAATGTGTGGTGAGAAACGTTGAACCAGTTTTAGAAGAATTTATTCCATTGAAGAGCAATGAGGAAAATGATCAGAGTGAAGAAGATGGTTCCTTAATCACCACCAAAAAGGAAGAAGACTCCAACAACAACTGCAATACTTATAAGGACAAGAAAAATTGGATGAGTTCCATTCAGCTTTGGAACACTGATGATGATGACTATTGCTCCACTGATCATAATCTGGATACCAAGGTACCTTAAGAAAAATGAAGAGCAACATTTAAGCTGAATAAGTAATTTACAATGAAATAATTTTGCTGAAAGTGAATTTCTTTTTGCTCGATTTACAACAGAGAAAACATGGAGATCCATGTAAATACAGGGGAGGAACGAGAGACTTTACTCCATTCAAGGCAAACTTGGCTTTTGCAGTTAGGAAAGAAGAGAAAAAGGATATACCGGTTCCTGGATTATCGCTTTTGACACCTCGAATCAAGAATCTGAAAGAAGAATCGGGTTCTACAGGTTCAAGGACAACTTGTAGCACGGCGGTTTCGTCTTCTGCAACCAATGTTCGATCGAATTTTTGGTCTGTATCACTGGCGATGCTTTCCAATCATCAGCAGCAGACCGGTAGGAAGCAAAGGAGGTGCTGGTCACCTGAGCTGCATCACCGGTTTGTCAATGCTTTGCAGCAGTTAGGAGGCTCTCAAGGTGAGAAATAAAAGACCAATTAGAAATGTTCTTAGCTGATTGCAATTTTAATTTTGCTCTTCTTGATTGTTTATCATTGTATTCTTGCTAGTATTAGTTTGATTTGAGACCATGAATGATTAAATATACATATAGGAAATTAAAGATTCTGTAGTATTACTCGATCTGTTTGTGTTCGTTTTTATGGCAAATCTATCTTTGATCCTTTTAGCTTCAAGTTTCTGAGGCAAAGTTCTTTGAATTTTTTTTTTGCAGTGGCTACTCCAAAGCAGATCAGGGAACTTATGCAAGTAGATGGTCTGACCAATGATGAAGTTAAGAGTCATTTGCAGGTGGGGGCTCTTCATTCTTAGTAATTTGATCTGTGGAAAGTAGTTAAAAGAGAAAGATCATGTATTTGTTAATAGTTTGATCCTTTTTTTATCTTCTGCTTTTTCATATCCGAGATTCGATATTGATGAAAGAACTCTCGACTCTCCAGAAATACCGACTACTCACAAAAAGACTAGCAGTTAAAACAACCACCCCTGCAAATCATTCAGCCTTTGTTTTTGGGAGTGGTCATGCATGGATTTCCCAAGATCAGTACGGAGAATCCCCGAAAGGGAGCAATTCGCAGTCCGGCTCTCCTCAAGGTCCTCTCCAGATAGCCACAAACACCAGAGGGACTTCCACTACAGGAGATGACAGCATGGGAGATGATGAAGATGCAAAATCCGAGTGCTATAGCTGGAAAAGTCATGCTCAGAAACTCAGAAAGATCGATGTATAGAGTTTTATCCACCATGAATATTGCAGATAAAGTATACATGGGAGGAATTCAATATATTACACTATCATGTATCATACATTAAAAAAAAGGATCTTGAGAAATGAGAGAAGATAAGAGGGTGTCAAATTTTGCAGGATCCATCTTTCCTTGGATCTTGAATTGAATTTTCGTTTTATTGCATTATTCCCATATCATAAAGCTATAGTTTTCTCTATTACTTGAGCAATTACATTTGGTTTCAGAAATTTACAATGTTTTGAATTTCTGCAGTTTCATGTGAAAAAACTTGCTTAAAAGGTATCTCAATTATTGTAACCCTTATAGTCAATTTATCTAAAGATTTTATCCTTCAAACAGGCTCTTAAAGTCAATTTATCTAAAGATTTTATCCTTTCACCTAACCCATCTCATATACCACTAAAAACAAAAGAACCCATCAATTGTAACGTTCATAAATTCATATGGAAGCATGACAAAACAGTCACTTTCACAAGCAAAATAATGGAGAGAATCTTGTAGACAGGACAAGTTATAATTAGGATGCATATGGTGTGGGAGAAGCTAGTCAAAATGGTGAAAACTCGTTATTCTCCTGAACACCGACGGTAGGGAAAAAAAATACTATAAATGATGTTAATATATAAGATTTAAATTTAACATCCAAAGTTTGAGATTTGGGAGAATATTGTAACCATAAAAGAAAGTGATATTCTTTTAGAAATTGTAAGTTCATTTAATTAATCTGTGCATCGTAAGAGAAGCTAAGTTAAACCATTGGTGCTCGAATACATGATCTCTAGGAATGATAATGATTCTTTAACTATTGAGGTAAGTTGGTTCGTGTAAAAATTAGGTTATTTGAATATATAATATTTAAATAAGTATGCTTGTAGAATTTTCTGTGTATTAAATAGTTTCTTATATATTATATTAAGGGTTTGATTGATTAGAATCTGAAATCCAAATTATAAGTTTTAAGAAAAAGATGGTGATCGGTGAATAGAATATTAATAGGAAACCATTCCAATCAAAGACCGACCATAAATGAAGCATGATCCCTGAGATTATGATGGGTTTATAAAATAATCATCAAAATATTGGTGAGACACAATCAATATCTATCCAGCTACGACTTGTTCGTAAATCATAACTATTCTGGTTTGTACTTTGTGTTTCATATCATTAATGTGAAAAGACTATTTACGTGTGAAAATTAAGTGATCTTAATTGTTAATGAAATAGTTGTTATTTTAAAAAATATCGAGTTTAAACAAAATGTTCACAACGATATAATGTAAATGTTTATTATTAAATTATTAAAAAAATTTCGAATATATATTACCTAATCAATTTTAGATTAATAATAATAATAATAAGACTTTGCATTTGTCTAGTAAAGCTAATAATATTCGATAAAAACTCAAATATTTTTCTAGGTGATAACTATCAATCATCGAATACCAAGATGATAATATTAATTTACGATCTTATAATGTATTCTATCTTTCATATCTAAATTAAAGTTACAAATTTAATTGAGTAAATTAAAATTTTAATTTATTCAATTAATATTTAATCGGTAATTTTTTTTGAATTTATGATAAAATTGAAATCACATTAATTTTCTTGAATTAAAGGTTTGTGATTTAATAAAAGTTGAAGTCAAATACAAAGATCTAAAATGTAAGTTAATTTTTGTTCACCAAATAAGAATGTAAAATTGTGTAATTTTAAATTTAATCTTACCTTAAATTTTAAAAACTATCACGTTTTAAATTTTAAAAATTATTTATTTAAATTATTTTAAAATATGATTTATTTTAATCCGTCAAGATTTATCATTACCTTTAAATTATTAATTACTAATAAAATTTAAAATTTTAACGAAATAAAATGCAAAACACATAAAATTTTAAAATTTAAATTTAATATGATAAATTATGTAAAAAAATATAATATTTTTATTATCTTTCACAAAGATTATATAGTTAACAAAATAAAATTGTGAATAGTTCATTCTTTATTATTTAAATGAATTTATAAATTTTTAAAATTTGACAATGCTTTTCAATTTTAAGGTTACAGCAAGTCTTTAAAGTTGCAAAATCTTGAAACTTTTTATATGGAAATGAAGTCAACTCTTTGATTTTAATTAAAAAAAAAGAAATTAAAGGAAAAATAAAACTAAAAGAAGTGGTCAAAGCAAAGGCAAAAGTCATGTGCGTAGAAATTCTCTCCCTCCATATTTGGGCGCCAACGGTGGGTTCATCCTTATCAGAACTTGCATGCAGTTACTAAACTTCAGGAGAGATTATATCAAAATCTTAACCTTCAAATCAACAGAGTGAAATATAGAAAAATAAAACAAATATGGCACAAGCACAACCTGAGGAAAAGTACAGGAAAATGAAAGACGCTATGGCAACACCTTCAGCCAAAACAACCGCTGGCAGCAATGGAGTGTCGTTCAAATTCAATGCACATGCACCAGAATTCGTGCCTGGATTGCAGAACCAAATCCCAGTTTCCGGTTATTATTACCCTTGGTTCCATTATCATTGTGGAGATGCTGCTGATTCTGACTGGTTTGGTGTCCAAGAACCTGCTACTTATATGATTTCTAATCCTAATCTCTCCATCTCGATACCTAGTTTTACTTCGAGAAATGTCCTCAACAATGATCTACGTCAAATGATCATCAAACAGGTCGTATTTTCATTATCATTTTACATGTATTTGATGTTTAATTAGATTGCCAAGTTTTTCTGGCCTCACCTGTGTATGAAACAGGTGGAATATCAGTTGAGTGACATGAGTCTTATAGCAAACGAATCCTTCTCCAAGCAAATAAGTAAAGATCCCGAAGGTTTTGGTAAGCAAACTTGCAGTTCTTATATTTTCGATAAAAGTAGCGTTTTTTTTAACACAAATGCAAATGGCTTTGCTTTAGTGCCAATATCCTTTATTGCTTCTACAAAGAAAATCAAGTCCCTCATAACCAACCACCAGTTATTGGCTCAAATACTAAGGTTCTCTTCAAATCTTGTAAGTTCTTTGAGTTCCATTAACAAGTTATTGTCTTCAGTTTGGTCACAAATCATCATCTTTTTTATTTATGTGCCTGCAAGGTTGTGAGTAATGACGGTAAGAAGGTTCGACGGAAACACCCTTTCACCGAAAAAGACAGAGAGGAAGTGCAATCCCGTACCGTTGTTGTAGAGAATTTGCCTGATGATCACTCTCATCAGAACCTTGACAAGATTTTCGATGTCGTTGGGAGGTTAATCTATTATCAGTTAGATTTGAATTTATGGTCTGTTCATGTTAAGGTCTTTTGTTTGCAGCGCATGCTAATGATATTTCTTAATACAGTGTGAAGAACATCCGAATATGTCATCCCCAGGAATACAATTCTTCCCGGTTTAGAAGCGATTTTATCATGTCGAACAAGGTACGCATGTTAGAATCGAAATTCGAAACCAGTTTTCTTAGACAACTTTGCTGATAATTAGTTTTTTTCCTTGAAGCTACATGCTCTTGTGGAGTATGAATCTAAAGAGATTGCAGAGAAAGCGGTATGTTAATGCAGTGATGCCTGCTGCAATTGCCACAACTTCTAGTTATAATTTAAATGTTTCTGTGCTTCAGGTGGAGAAGTTAAACGACGAATGGAATTGGAGGAAAGGGCTTCGAGTGAGGCTGCTGCTTAGCCTTAGGCTCTCGGTATGTCTAACTAAGATATTCATGATTTTACATGCTTATACATGATTGAAATGTTTTAGTTACAGCTATTATTATGAAAAGAACATGCAGCCAAAGTCTGTTCTGAAAGCAAGAAAATCAGAATTCGATGGCATGTTAGACGGCGATGATTCGCTGCTCGCCAATTACTCTGAAGATTCCTCTCTGTCAAACAATGCCGAATCAGTTGAGAACAATGTAAGCTTCAATTCTATTTAACCATTCCCGCTATGATGGCATATTCGACTGTTCTGCCATATGAAAAGTTCTTGTTCCGTTAGGTTGAGGATAATGGTGTGGGATCAAAAAGGGGATGGGTTAAAGGGCGCGCCAAGGGCTGGGGACGCCTTCAAAACCACTGCGGACGCGGCTTTATTCATTCGACTCCTCAACCGAGCAATGCAGTCCAATGCGAAACATCGGTGAAACATATGATGAAGGGCCCAAGAATGCCGGATGGAACCAGGGGTTTCACCATGGGGCGAGGCAAGCGGATAACTTCATCGGTGGGCTAATAGATGGCACATTGTCTCCAGTCTAATAGTTCTGCATCTCGAGAAAGCAGTAGGAAATTATGGTTTAGTAGCCATATGCATGGTCTAGCCTTTAATATGTTATCAATAATTAAAGATTGTATAGTTTAGTACTGTTCTCTGCTAGCTATTTTGATAGCAATTTTTTGTTTCCTGGCAAACCATATTTTCTCTTAACAAACTATTAGTTGTGAATTGGATGGGTTGAATTGATTTTGAATCGAACCAATTTAAGTTATTTTGGATTTAGGTTATTAGGGTTTCTATTAGTTTTAACTTTTAAATTCAGGTTATTTGAAGTTAAAACCATTTTGAATTTAGGCCATTTGAATTTTTTAGTTGGGTTTTTTCAAATTTTGTTAGTTTTGGTCATTTCAAGTTTAAGTGCTTTTAAACATTTAAAAATAATTTTGTTGTCTTTTAAAATTTTATAAATTCTTTCACTAAAACATTATAAATTTATTTTCTTAACATAAAATATTACGCATGTCTCTGAATATGTCCACTCATAGACTCCTCGAACACCAATCTTTGTGCCACTCAACTCCACAATTATCTATAGGTTCGACGACATGTACTACACGAACCTCTTCAACAACGTCGACCTTTTCAAATAGAATCAAGCACTGATGGGAGACCTGAAAATGGGTGTCATGGTTAATTCTTGTAGCACCAATCCTTACCTTTTTCTTCAATGATTCTGCCCCATCAATGGCGAAGCTTGGTGATCTTGATGTACTCACCGGAAAAAGGGGCCAGATTAGAAACTAGTGTGGGTCCATCAACTAAGTTACTAGATTTGAAATGCCAATATGTAATTAAACATATCATTTTACTCGTTTTCTATGTTATACCAAGTATATGTGAGAATCAAACTAATCTGATTAGTCAAATAACTCAACAATTAACTCAAAGCTTTACCATTACTAAACTAAATAATCTAATCAATAAGACTCCACACGTAATTTATATAAGAAAAAAGTTTCTAACATTGTCAAATTTTACTAATTGCTAATTGCGATTCGAGTAGTTAAAGATAATATTGTTTTTTTAGAAGTTTTGGATTCGAACATGTGTTTTGGTAGGTTGTGTGTACACTGGCAATAACTTAAAAAAATTATGAAAAATACTATATTATAAACACCTTATACTAGGGTTGTAAACGAGCCTAGTCGAGCTCGAGTATTGCTGAGCTCGTCTCAACTCGAAAACTTTAAAATGCAACTCACTCGGCTCTAAATTAAGCCTGAAATTTCCAAGCTCAACTCAAACTCGAAATTATGAATTGAAGCTCGAAAAAACTCGAAAAAAAAAATCTTAATCCTAACTTAGTTGAAGCTCAAACTTAAACTTGAACCTTAAGTACATGAAAATCTTATATTGTATTTAAAAAAAATCAACACATAAGTGTTAATATTATTAATAATTTAATTTTTAAAAAATAAAATTTTGAAATGTTATTACTTCAAGTTGCTTGTGAGCTTTTGAAGTTAAATATCAAATAACTTGTTTCGACTTGTTACAAACTCGAATTGAGTTCAAACTTGAATCGAATATTGAGTTTTAACTAAGTATAACTCAAATAACTCAAGATCTATCCCATCTCAATTACGGTTGTACCTTATACTATTAAAATATATGTTTTATTAAGCTAAAAAAGAAGGTGACTATTAGAATCCCAAAGGAAAAGTGTAGTGTAGAAGCACAATCCGAAATTCAATGAGCAATTTAACACCGAACAACACGGAACGGAACGCCTTTCACATTATTTTCCCTTTCACCTCTCTACTTTTCATCTTCTTTTTTTGGTCCATTTCTCTCTTCTTTTTTAATTTATTGGTCATTTTCACGATCCGATAAAAAAGCACCCACTAAGAAACAATTAAACCCTGCAAAAACCTATCTTCAAAATATACTAATATTTCAAAGAAAGTTCCTTTTCTATTATTATTTGGTGATGTCTACACCATTAGAACAGCTGCAGCCACCACCTACAGGAGCGACCCAACAAGCCAACACGGACAATACGAGTCACGGGTCCGTCGGACCAGTCATAGCCGTACTGGCAGTGATCACTATCCTCGGAGTCATAGCTGGCATGATAGGTCGATTATGTTCGGGTAGACCCATCATGGGCCATGGTCACTACGATTTTGAAGGTTGGGTCGAGAGGAAATGTTCTTCTTGCATCGACGGTTCGATGGACCCACCTCCACCCCGGCCTGCGACGGTGCCTGCGGAGGAGACGCAGCAAGAGATCATAGAAGAAGAAGAGCATTGAGGAGCTCAAGTACAAGGGCAAAGGCAACAGGGAAGTAGCAGTAATTCTTGATTTTTTATTATTGGGTTTTTTTCCCTTTTACTTTCAAGGTTATACACTCATTGTACTTGCAGAAACAAATGGATTCTGTGTCTTTTTTCATTGGACTCTGTTATTATTTTAACTGTTAATGCCATTTTTTTTCTCTTCGGTTCTTCCATTTATTAGCATAATGAGATTTCTGAAAAGAAACAATTTTTGAAAACAAATTGTTGAATTGAGATTTGTGGGATGGAAAATGCTACATTATCATATGGGTTCATCATGATTTCTTAATTTTTAATTTTTTGAAAGGATGGGTTCATCGTGATGAAATGAATTCTGATATTAGTCTATATCTATCTATTATGTTTGATTTTGGATTTGATCCCTTCAATTTGATTAAATTTAATTGATTTACTTTTATAGTTTTATTATTAAATTCAAATTAATAACATTTTAATAGTTCATATTAAACTAAAGATGTGAACTTTTTAAAAATAATCTTAATATTTTATTAAGATAAAAATTTATTGTTAATTAAATATAATAGATTGAATTAAGATATAAATTCAAATTAATAACATTGTAAATGTTACACTAAATATTAAAATCTAAACAATACGAACTTAAATTTAGTACAATTAATGGGAAAATTAATGGATTGGATTTGAATGAAAATTAATATGTTAATGGTTAGTTTGTAGCGCCATTTAATTCTTTTTGAACATTACTAAATAGATTATTCTACCTAGATTTTTAACTATCAAATTATAATAAATATGAAATTAAATTCAAATTTTAATCATGTTAAATTATTAAAAATAAAATATAATATTAGATTTACAGAAGCGTGTACGAATTTATTGATGATAATCACTCAGAAGGAGGTTTTGATCGTTTAAGAAGAAGAATTTTTTCTTAATGTAAAAATTTTGACGAGATAAAAGAAATATTAGTTAATCTATTTCTTAGGGATCATCTTTTTATATAAATTGAATATTAAATTATATCATAAATATTTATAATTATGTCTCTCGTTAAATTATAAATACAATTTATGGTATCTACACTTCTATTTTCATGACACTTTAATACATATGACACATGTAACATAATTAACCTCTTAATTTTTGTCACGCTTTATAATAGCATCATACACAGTGGCAGATCCACATTGAGTTGATGGTGGGCACGTGCCCACTTCGAAATTCGAATTTTCTTTGGTTATTTACTTATTTTATTGATTGTGTCCATCCTGAAATTCTTTTTATGCCCATCTCATACAAAAATTATATGTGTGTTCACCCTGAAAAATATTTATGGATCCCCCACTGGTCCTACATTATATATATGTGTCCACAATTGTAGATTTCAATCTAACAATCTCTCACTTGGACAACATATGTGTATTCACAAATATATAACCTTATGAGCTTAAAACTTACTATTATATAATAAGTATTCTATAATAATCTCATCCATAAACTATATTCATACAGGATCAAAGCAACACTTTTCATATCAATCATGACTAGACACATCAATACTTATGTATATAAATAAAGTCAAATGACATAAATCAATCATAGAGTGCATGCAATATGAATCGAACGTGTCAATTTCTATTGATCCTCTTTAAACAATAACAAAATTAAATTTTATCAAAATCGTGAATAAACCAAAATAAGCTTTATTTATGTGAAAAATAAACTTTAAATAAATATCTTTAAACTAAAATAATTGAAATTGTTTCTATAATAAATGAGAATTTTAAAATTATAAACTTCTACTGAAACTAAATAATTTTAAGTGATATTATACCCACATAAATAATGTGCTCATGAAAGACTTGGGGCGATAGTCCCTAAAATTCATATTTAAGATGAAATTAAGGTGTTTTATTGAAGTTATGGGGGATTAGAGTTTAGATCCCAGGTTTCCCAATCTAAAACTTCAAAAGTTTTCTAATAATTGCATGACGACATATATCATCATTATACGATGACACATGCCATTATAGTCATTAACAAAAAATAATTATAGGTTACTAGCATGAAAATGAAACCTTAGTTTAGCGATTAAAATGAAAATGGAATCTAAGTTTGATGATTTGTTTTAATTTTTTTTTTTTAAATTTTATGGCCATTGATGAATATGAAGTTTTTTATAGTTGGTGGGTAACTATAGTATTACTCGATCATCCATCGCATGATGTCGGAAACCACATCCCTTCTCTTTTTTGATTAATTCTCTATTTACAAAACCTACTGTAACTTTCTTCACACATGATTCACATTTACAGCTATTTTCAGTTTAAGGCAACGGGAATGACGTAAACATGTTTTGCTAACCATATAAATTCATTTCCTTCCTGTAAAAGTTTCATGGCTGCTACCTGCCTCACATGCTGCGTAAGTCGTCTTTTGCGATAGATGCCTACCAAACGCAAGATGAGTACCAAAGTAATGGCGGAGAAATCAAACACTCTTCCGATTCCAACACCACCTGCAAAACATTAAAAGCAAAATCACTAATTTATCTGTTTGTGTCTGCTGACTAGCATACATCTCCTAATTGACCACTATGGATATATATTACAATAATCATCCAATCAACTCCTATGAATGATGGGCATTTCTCGGGAAAAAGAATACCTGTTGGAAGAAAATCAAACGGTGTAGCTCTGTAGATGATACTTAGCACCATCCGTAAACACCATAGATAGTATAGATTTAACATCAGTTAAGAGTTACGAAGACATCAACATAAATACACACGGTAAGTTAATGATGCCATTTCAAATAAAGCTACTTCTGAGCGATATAGAAGAAAAATAAATTTCTGCTAAGTATTGAATCAGCTTAACTGCAAACGGCTTATCTCAGCAATATATGTAATGTTAAGATCAGGATCCATCAACCCCAGGAACAGTCTCTTCATGAAGAATGGTAACAGACACACTTTCTGCTAAGAAGAGAAGGAAGAAAATTTTCATGGCCTGCTCGCAATAGAACAAAAGATTCATATATTGCAGTTGTAATTTAAGATTAATAAACAAAAATCAAGAAGGAAGATGACTGTTAGGACAAATTAAAAACAATGGCACTCTTCACTAGTTCACTTCCAAGGCAATGCCAGAGCCATAATGTTAACGTCATACATGTCAAAGGAAAGAGGGAAAACACCACCACCACCACAGCAAATCACTTTGCATATATGTTTACTAAGGTCTAACAAATTCAAAATTTTAGCGGAAATACCTGAATAAATCCGCGTGCACCACCTACAAAGAGAAGCTTATACCTCTGTACACTTTTAAGCACCTGAGTAACTTCCTGGTCCTGTTGTTGTTGCAACGATGCCTCTGGCATCAAATTAATAATCTTGCAAGCACACATGGGGCACTTGCATGGCTTAGGTGCTGAGGAATAGTTCCAGAATTGCAAAACACAACAGCCTGTCAACACCAGAAAGGAGAAGCGAAAAAAGAACCAATTCAATGAAATCTCATTCAAGACCAAATACGTAAGTCAACCCATTGGGGAGTATCTACAGACAATAATTCACTGAAACTCAATCCTTACTCTAAAATCAAGTTCGAATTTTATGAACTCAAATCAAGATTTGGCAATCAGAGAACTGACTGCACAACCAGGATACAAAACTATAGATAAAAGAACAAGCATCTGGGGGCAAATTGGCAGTAATATCAAGCAGAAAATGCACGGTAACTCATTATATTTAAATAAAAACAGGACAAACGCCAAGCCTCACAACGCCTTCCCTTCCTCTATGATGAGGGAAAAAGCTTTAAGGCTCTCAACAACCTTCTTTATACTAATATTTTAACAATTTTCAGGTCAGAGATCCACAACTAGAGGCAAGTTTCTAATATCTTAAGGGTGCGTTTGGTTCACGGAATGTAATATTATAAGTGGAAAAAAAAGATTACCAGGGAATAGGATTACTAGAAATGTTGTATTTTGTGTTTGGTTGGTTTAGCATGAATGTAAGATTACCGTATTTGGTTAAAAGAATAAAATATTATTGGAATGTATATTTGACCAAATTATCCCTATTATATATTTGTATAATATTACAAGTTGAAAAATATTTATATATTTTCTTTAAAAAAAATTAAATTCATAAAATTATATATTTTTTTTACAAAATTAAAAATATAAAAAATATTTAATGAAAGGCCCCTGAACTTTATATAAAATATATATTTTTTTGTAAATCTAAAATAGTTTAAGGATAAATTTGTAATTTAACATTCGTAGAATTTTTATTATTCAATGAAAGAAGAATGATATTTTTGAGAGAAAAAAATTAAATGCATTTTAGTCCAAAACGCCAGTAGTATTACAATACCCGAGGAAATGAAGATAATGCATTCTCAGTAATATACTCAAAAAATCCACTATTGATAATAAAACATTACCGGAAATGACATTCTCAGCCAATCAAACGAGAGAATATAGATTCTATTCCTGAGATAATCTCACATTCTCCATCCAAACGCCCCGTCACCAGCAAATAAAAGGAATAAAATTACATTGAAAGAAACAAATTCTCTGGCTTAAAATGTTCGTAGATTGTATCATGTATGAGAAGAAATATAAAGCGAAAAATCCCATAAAAAGCCTGCCCTCCTTTATCTAAGGTTTTCAGAACCGGATCGGTTAACGAACCGATCATCCTATCGGTTCACTAGTTCAATCGGTTGAACTGGTCTGACTGATCGAAAGAACCGGACGACATCATAATTATTTAAAAAATTAAATAAAAATACCAAAAATATTTAATAAAAAATAATTTTTTATATCACAAGTCATATTTAAAGCAAGTCATAACATATATAAGTTAAAAACCATAAAATTAAGTGAAACAAAATGATTCAAATTAACTACAATATAATATTTAAGGTAAACATATTAAATAATAAATTTAATTATATAACTATAATTAAAAAATAAATTTGGGGTTAAAAAATCATAACAAAATGATATTGTTTGGTTTAATTTAAAAAAAATAATTCCACATGGCTAAGAAACATAAAAGAGCATCTCAAAAGTCTAAAGAGTAAAAATATGAGAACAAAACAATCTCACATTGCTAAGAAACATAGAAGCGCATCACAACTAACTTCTATAAATAATAGAGGTAATTTGACATTCAAAATCATAAAGCATTTTGTTGAGCATTGAATGAACTATTCTTTCACTTTAATCAAGCTCGAACTTTAGGCTTTAATCGAGCTTCTAAATTTTTTTTGAGTTCAAGCCTTTTTGAGTTCAAGTTTCAATATTATATTTCGAGTTTGAGTTGAACTTGATAATTTTTAGCTTGTGAGTTTGAGTTGAGTTGAGCTTACTTTTAAAGTTTTTAAGTTCGAGTCGAGCTCAGCAATACTCGAGTTCGACTTGGCTCGTTTAACAAATGACGTTGTTTGGTTTAATTTTTTTTATAAAAAAAACAAAAATCCCGGTTTTTTCCGGTTTTTCCCGATTTTTTCCGGTTCGAACGGTTCAGCGGTTCTGATCGATTCACTAATAGCGATTCAACCGGTTTAGATTGAATCGGACTAAGCAACGATTCCCGATTGAACCGGTTGAACCGGCCGATCCGGTCCGATTTTCAAAACAGAGCCTTTATCATTCTTTATAAATAGAAAAACAAAATAAAGCAAGAAACTTGCTTCCTCGTAGAACATATTCTTTTCTTCAAGCAATGTACCACGTTATTTACCAGAATAAAAACAACACTAATTTACATTTTAAAACAGAGTAGATTATTTGAGAATGGTTTCTTAAGGATAGTTCGAACGAACCTATAAATTCAAGATATTAAGTAATTCGAGCAAAATCTACACATAAATCTTAATCCACGCTTGCAACTAATGATTGAATGTTCGATTTCTAGTTTCCAGAGAACAAACCCTATTTCTTCCCGTTTCTTTTCATTCCTAAATTTCTCTCACCGGCAAAATATTACCAAAACCAGCAAAGGAAAAAAGAGTACCACAATACCAGTGTCTGTAAACATTAATTTTTCATTTTACTTAAATTATTTAAATTATTATTTTTAAAATTATTATTATTATTATTATTACTGTTATTATTAATATACATTATTATTATTATTTATTATTATTAAATAAATACAAATATTGTTACAAGCCCAAAAATATCAATCCCGGAGCCCAAACATGGAGGCCCAGGCCTGGATCCAATCCAGACGACCCAACTATCCCAATAGAGCCCAAATGTATAACCCTAAACTTAGTTAGGGTTTACATATCATCATCTAGCCGCCAATGTCATCCACCGTTGGATCTGGCAAGATCCAACGATCCAAAGCTCTCCAACAAGAAACCCTAGGGTAATGATACCCTAGGGACCACATGGCCTCCGCTGTTGATGCCATCACCTCCACGTTGCTCCAGAGAGGCAACAACATTCAAACATGAAGTTTTACAGATCTTCGTATGAAGTTTTACAGATCTTCATATGAACAAGAAGATTCATGATGAAATATACCTTACAAGAAGAAGGTAGAATTCAAATCACATCAGGAGAGGCAAACATCTAAAGAATAGATGGACGCAATCCATAAATAAAGCATTATTTTGAAATGGGTCATGTTACCCAATCAATAAATTATTTAAATGAGAAAACACTTTCCAAAGTTTCTCATTTAATCTTTTCTAAAAATGAAATTGTTGAAATAGTAAGAAAACGATTTCCATAGTTTCTTACTTAGTAAACTACTTCTCACATCTGTAAGCCCTTCAGTGCATGATGTCTTCAAAACCTTCGGGTCATCTGTAAGCCCTTCAGTGCATGATGTCTTCAAAACCTTCGGGTCATCTGTAAGTCCTTCAGTGCTTGATGTTTTCAAAACCTTCAGGTCATCTGTAAGCCCTTCAGTGCATGATGTTTTCAAAACCTTCAGGTCATCTGTAAGCCCTTCAGTGCTTGATGTTTTCAAAACCTTCGGGTCATCTGTAAGCCCTTCAGTGCTTGATGTTTTCAAAACCTTCGGGTCATCTATAAGCCCTTCAGTGCTTGATGTTTTCAAAACCTTCGGGTCATCTGTAAGCCCTTCAGTGCTTGATGTTTTCAAAACCTTCGGGTCATCTGTAAGCCCTTCAGTGCATGATGTTTTCAAAACCTTCGGGTCATCTGTAAGTCCTTCAGTGCATGATGTTTTCAAAGCCTTCGGGTCATCTATAAGACCTTCAGTGCATGATGTTTTCAAACATTTCCATCCCACCAAATGAAAAATTATTGTTTTTTCGTCTTTGCTCTACTCTTGTTAACACAAAAATGAGCAAAGAGTGGCAGTTATAAACACTAATTTTTCATTTTACTTAAATTACTTAAATTATTATTTTTAAAATTATTATTATTATTATTACTGTTATTATTAATATACATTATTATTATTATTATTTATTATTAAATAAATACAAATATTGTTACAAGCCCAAAAATATCAATCCCGGAGCCCAAACATGGAGGCCCAGGTCTGGATCCAATCCATACGACCCAACTAGCCCAATAGAGCCTAAATGTATAACCCTAAACTTAGTTAGGGTTTATATATCATCATCTAGCCGCCAATGTCATCCACCGTTGGATCTGGCAAGATCCAACGATCCAAAGCTCTCCAACAAGAAACCCTAGGGTTATGATACCCTAGGGACCACGCGGCCGCCGCTGTTGCTGCCATCACCTCCACGTTGCTCCGCCGCTGCCACGACGCCACCAACAGAAGACTCCAGAAGTTCTGCTGCCATGATAACATCCGCCCACGTCGAGCTCTATGGTGAGTCACCACCATAGCTATGGTGACTCACCGAGAAACCCCTCTGGAACCGGTCCGACAAGAGCTTCATCGAAGCTATAAAGTCTCGGCTCACCTGCAAACAAGAAAAGAGACAGAGAGCAACGGAGAACAAGAGACCACAACAACGACAAACAAATAGAAAGAGGAGACAGAGACCAATGACCAGCAACCAAGAGCCACAAACAACCAAAAACCAACAAATATTAAATCGAAAGAGAAAGAACTTACCAAAGAGGACTCCACGGTAACTGGAGAAACAACAAACATCCACGTGTTACAAAAAGATTTGAAATACTCAAAGGTATTTTTGTAGATATGCGTAAATAGGACGTGTTTTATAGAAGAAGAGGGTTGGATTCGGTTTTAGATCGTTTCGATCTATCTTTTGAGAGGGTTTTATATTTTCCGACCACCGGTGACGGTGGCCAGCGACAGCAATCGGCGCCTGAGCACGGTTACCGGTCGGAAATCGACATTCCTCTGATTGGAGGAATCTAGAGAGAGGCGAGAGAGTTTTTTCTTCTCTCTTAGCTAGAGAGAGAAGAGGAAAGAAAAAAATGAGAGAATGACCCTTAAGGGCCGACCATTTTAGGGGATTTATACCCCTTCCCAAACGACGTCATTTTGGGGAGGGGTATATGTGTAATTTTAAATGGGTAAATTATACCCGTTGCCATCCTATATTTATAAAGTTCTATTTTAGTCACTGAATCAAATTTTAGATCTTTATAATTCGGTTCCTTAATTTTAATTTTATTTATTTTAGTCATTTACATAAAATATATATATTATAGGTAAAATAATCGATTTAGCCATTGTAATTTTATTATTTAATATTTTAATCCCAAAAAGCATGTTTTAATTTTATATTCGAATTTTATTTTTAATTTAGCCACTAATAAATATATATATTTAAGGTATAATTATTGTTTTTCTTCATGGTAATAAAATAAAACAATTTTAAATTTATAAAATTATTTACAATTTTTATGCCTATACAAATTTAGAAATAATAGTATTAAATTATTGGGAGTGCACTTAGCAAAATATAGAGTAATATTACATTTATTTTCCACTAATAATCACATGATGGAGCAGTTGGAATAGATTTTTGAGCGGCAAAACTTGACTTATTGGGAGGGAAATATTTTAATAATGCTAGTGGACTAATAATCACGTTTCTCTCTTTTACATTGTTAAAATTTGAGTTTTTATTTATTATTTTAAGTTTAACAATATTTTAATAATATTTTTATAATATTTAAGAAATTATTTAAATAGAAATGGGGTTGAAATTTGATTATGATTCTTATTTTATTATTATAAGCTTTTATTTATAAATCAAAGTTGGTGAAGAGTAGTTAATTCATAAATAATTATGATGTAATTGAATAATTAAAAATAAAAGAAAATTATAATAAATAAACGTTACTATTATTAGTTCAGTCATTGCCGTTTTTCATCATACACACATTTTTATTCATTCCTCTTTTACATGTTGCTGACTTTATATTTTCCACCATATTTGTTATTTATAAATATAATATTTATACATTTTATTATTAATTAATTATGTTTTTTTTAAATGTTAAAATTTAATCATTATCTATCATTTTTTATATATATAAAAATTATTTATTTTATTTTATTTTTATTTTAAGTAATAAAAATATATATATTTAATTAAATAATACTATTTATTTTTTTATATCAAAGAAATGTACTGTCTTAAAGCACCTAGAAGTCATTTTCTGATATTCTTAAATAAATAAATATCCTATTTTTATAAATTATATATTAATTTATTTTAATTATTTTTAGAGAAATATTTTAATAATATTTATTTGTTTTTTTATATTAAAAAGTGGGCTGTCTTAAAGCACCTATAAATCCTTTTATGATATTTCTAAGTAAATAAATATCTTATTAATATATTTTCTTAAAATTATATTAATAAATTTGAAATAACGGGATTATGAATTAAATATATTTTTAAATTTTAATGATAGAGACAATTTATAATTAATGAGTACCAATTTTTGGGCGTTGTGGGGGTACTAATCATTCCCCAAACGTAATCGACCATGAATCCCTTTTATTATTAAAAAGAATGATTTTTTGGTTAAAATGCATATCAGTTTATCTTTTAACTAATATTTTCTTAAAAACTCTTTTAAAAGATAATTTTTAGGTATTCGACCTACCTGACCCAAAAGGTCGATTGAGACTCCTTAAAATATTTTAAAAACCATTTATTCACATCATTTTTCCTGTTAAATAAAAATTTCATGCCCAAACTAAAACCGGTTACGACAGCCACAATTGGAACGACAGATAACAGTGAAAGACCGAAGAAGATTGGGCAGCAATCATCATCGGGAGGGGTTTCATTCAACCGCTTATTCCCTCTAGATTCCTTCGCATTTCTTCCGCTTGTTCTCTCTCTCTCTCCTTTTCTCTTTCAGCTTCAAAATGGATTGCTCAAAAGATATTTTCCATTACTTTCTCAGGAAAATGAGGCGTGCTAAATGTAAGGAGTGTAAAAATGTAAAATGCGTGCCTCTCCCATATATATCCGCCGAGTTTCCGCACCGCATGGAGCGTGTAAATAACAGTTTTGGCCTTGTGGGGAGCAACGACGTTTCTTGGGCATACTACAATTTTGGTCCCCTACTGTGTTTAAACTTGAGACTTGGAGTTTATATTTTAGTTTCAAATTATTTAATTCTTCTAATTTTATAAATTCTGATTAAAATGTTAATGTAGAATTGGAAGGAAAAAACTCATTTTCAACTCATGTTGTTGACATTATACGGAGATAATGAATTTAAACTAGTAACATTACAACAAGTATATATCATTTTCGAATTCATTGAGTGACTTCAATGGTAAAATAGAATGTTTTTCTTTTTAGATGACCGACTTTGAGTAGTTTGTGTTTTTAATAGGATAAGAAAAAAATATGAATAAATGCTATCTTATAATCACTTCAAAATATTAATATATATATATATATACAATTTTCTTTTTCTTATTTCACATAATTAATAAGAAAATGATATTTTCTTTATAAAAAATGTAACCTTAAAGAGATGTGAATGATTTGAGACAAAATGTCAGCATTAATTTCTCATAAATTTGTTGCCTATCAACGTTGAAAAAGGTTGATTTTGCAGGTTCACACCATTAAATCTTTGCCTATAAAATACCTGTCTGGTCATCTTCCAATAGCATCAAACAAAACATCCAAGTTTTAATATTTTTGTTTTTGAAACTTGTTTCAGAAAAATGGGTTTCAAATTTGGTCATCAAGGTCTTGTTTTGGTTCTGGTTGCTGCTTCAATGGTGGGAGTAAGCTTGGCAAACAAGGAATGGGGCATTCATCATCACCACCATCCCACTAGCCCTAAAAGAATCGTAGTTGGTGATTCCCAAAACTGGCACTTTGGGGTTAACTACACTGATTGGTCACTCAAAAATGCTCCCTTCTACCTCAATGATACTCTAGGTATGTAATGCTAAGCAAAAACATTCAAATTATGGTGCATTTTTGGGGAGTAAATCCCGAATTCGAGATGGTGAAGGGGTGAAAACCGTAATTTGACGTTTTGTTGATCCACCAAGCAACACCACATTTCCTCACAGTGTCTACTTGCTACCCAAAAGAGCTTCCTCAACTGCGACTTAAGAAGAGCCAAGGCGATTGCGAACCCGAATCAAAGAAGCGGGAATGGGTTCGAGTTTGTGTTGGGAAAAAAACAACAATCTTCATTTTATCACCGATAACACTAAATATGTTTAAATTTTATGTTTTATTATAATCTGTTGTCAATTACTAATAAATTTATACACTATAATAAAATCATAAGTTGGCTTCTCGTTAAATATAATATAAACAAAAATAATTAAATTTATTAACAACACCATCATAATTCACAAATAATGTATGAATTTATATACAATCTATATCCTTTTAGCAATGAAAATCAAAAGTCAATACAAAAACAAAATGAGAGTCAAATTTAAGATCTTCCCCACCAAGAAAAAGTAAGTATATTTTAATTCTTTTATTGTATTTTTTCTGTTATTTGTCCAATCACCAACTTAAACTGTAGTCAGTACTTAGTCTATGGGACAAAAAATCTTAAGATTCACCCAATTTCATTAATTCCCCATTTAAAATCAACTGGGTTGACTCTTTCATGCTGTACTTGTATATATATATATACATATATGGTCATGTTGACATCAAGTAAACGTATGTATCTTTGGCTCGCTTACATTTTTAGCAAAATCATAATTAAAAGAAAAAACATTAACAATTCAATAATATTATTGTGGAAAATTTTCATTCAACCCTTAAATTTTTTGAAAATTTTTATTACATAATAAATTAAATAAAATGTACATATAATTTATTTTAATATGATATCTTCTTATTTTATTTTAGTGAATAAAATACACTATATATAGAATTGACTCCCTCATAACTTATTATCAAGATCAGAACAAATTAAAATACCTAATTTTAATTTTAGTTCCTAATTCATTCATGTGAAACTTAATTCTTAAGTAGCCTTATGTTGTATTTTAGTGTTTTTATATCTTTTTATTTGTCTTGGCTTAATAAAAAAGTTTTAAGGATATTTTCAAGTGTAGCTAAGTCCAGAGGTCAGAAATTTAAGAGAGCATGTTGGAGTAGTTTGTCGCGATGGTTATGAAACCATTTCTTGCTGCTAGATTGTTCAAGGACTGATTTGATCAACAATTTTAATTAGGGGGTAATTTAATTAAAAAAGTTTATAAGCCAATTTGACCAAACTTAAAAAATCAAATGACCAAAGCAATATTATTTTTTTTCTCCGTAGCAAACTACAAAAGTTAATTTATTCATGAATATAGCCTTTAACTACACGTTAGTCTTTCATCTTATTTTGTTTCATTACAACACAGAATAAACCAATTCTAGTAGTTTGTCAAACCATATTAAGTAACAATTACACAGTAATGTCGTCAACAATAGTGAAATAAAACACTAGTATATATTATATCGGATGTGGATCTTCTTGTGTGATAATCTCCAAGAGTTTAGTAATGCCAACGAAAGAGTGGCACCACCATGAACTTCATGCCGCCGACCTTACAATGGATGCCGTTATGTTCACCGCAAGCAAAGTAATAGGGGCTCCACTTGTCGAGAACAAACTCGAATCCGTCGCCGCCTCCTTGAGTTGCATTTGCGATCATCTTTGCTCTCTTCAAGTTGCAATTCAAGTAGCTCCATCGGTCGGGGAATAAGTAAACGCTGTGAGGGAACGTGTTGTTGCTCGGTGGATCGTACTTGAACACTGCAAAAAACCAATTCAAAACATCATTCACTATTTCAACAAATATAAATAACAAAGCTCTCCATTTTTAGTGTTGCGAACTGACCTAGAGTGTCATTGAAGTAGAAGGGTGCATTTTGGAATGCCCAGTCGGAGTAGTTGAAGCCGAAGTGCCAGTTCTGTTGTCCACCAACAGTGATATTTTGGGGACCTTGAGTTTCATTCAAGGGATGCTTGTTGGTGGAGTTCCAGCCCCAACCCCAGCCCCAGCCGGTGTAGTTTGATTTAGGGGAGCCCCAGTCCTTATTGGCTTGGCTCACTCCCAACATGTAAGCAGCTGCCACAAGTAGCATGAGTCGATATGCAAATGTGAAACCCATTTTCACAGTCAAATTTTGTAGACTTAGTATACGACTCTACTAAGAAGATTGTAGGTGAAGTTGATGGTTTTTGGCATTGGCAGGTTATGGGATTTATATAGTGGGGGAAAGAAGATAGAAAAATGGTGGGAATCTACCAAATTGAGGCTTTTTTTTCGCTTTTGGTAGGCGAGGAAATTGGGAAGAAGAATGATGCAAGAAATCTTTTCTTTTCAAGACTACACGTTGTGTCCGAGTCGTTGACGTTTGTTCAATTGGTCATCTCCAACTCCACATACATACAAAACATATTATTTCTATAGGATTGGGTCTTTTGCAATAGGTATTACAAATTGGTAAAATTCCTTGGTGTAATGGAAAAAATATTTCATTTAGGATGTTTGAAGAAATTAGTAATTTGTTGAGATAAGTCGTTTATTATGCTGTTAGTAGGAAGATGTGTGGATTATGTAATTAAAATGACGTTTGGACCACACTATATTTTATAGATTATTATATATAATCTGAAAAAGACGACGTAGCATTCAGACATATATTTAAAGACATTGAGTAATTCACGCATCTTCCAATCAACATTATAATAAGTATTTTATCTTAACAAATAATTTTTCTAAGATTCTAAATGAGTCATTTTTTCCAATACATTATCTAATAAGTTTTACCGTTACAAATTAGAAACGTTAATATTGGTCCTTCTTTACTTTTATTATATTCAAAATAAACTCTTGAACTTAAGTAGTTTCTTTCATTTATTTACCAAAAATGTTTAAGTGATTGAGTCCTTTCGAAACCATGCGGTGCTTATTGCTGCATATCATTTATTATAATAGATTACTTCTAAATTTAAATTTACCTATTTGAACTTAATTTTAACGAACAAACTTGTAGTGGAGAAGAAAAAACACGATTCAAGAACACCAAAAAAAAACATATAACACTATCTTTTTATTACTTTGAACAAATTGTGTTCATGCCTTATAGGTGGGCTAATCAACACATCTAGAAAAATTCTCCACCAACCCATTTAGCCAACCCCAACTCCTTTTTTCCGGCTCACCGACGTCCATGAGATTCACAACACTTTTAAACTGTAAGGACTAATAGAACAAAGAAGGAAATTAATGGAACGTGTAATGGATGACGGATGATGAGTTGGGTAAAACGTGTAATGGGTCAACTAATTTGGCAAATTAACACTATGGTTTCCATCTCTATATAAGCATGTCAACTCGTCTATTCAATCCCAGAAAACATTCAAGCTTAAAAGCTGTTTTTCATCACTTCCAAAACATGGGTTTTACAGGTTTTGCAAGACTCGTGGTAGTAATAATGGTAGGAAGCTTGTGGGGAATGAGCATGGCTAACAAGGACTGGGGCTCTGGGTTTAACCACACTGGCTGGGGCTGGGGTCCTTATCATCCCCCTAACCAAACCGAAGGACCCAACACCATCAACGTTGGTGGGTCAGACAATTGGCACTTCGGCTTCAACTACACCGAATGGGCATTCCAAAACGGACCATTCTACTTCAATGATACTCTAGGTGAGCTCATCAAACATAGTTCCACCTCTTAGAACGAAAAGAACTAAAATCAAAATACTTAATAGCATGACGATTTCTTTCCATCTCTTCTAAAAGGAGTACTATGAATTTAGCTTCATATTACTTGTTACTGAAACGTGCTTTGCAGTTTTCAAATACGACCCACCAAGCAACACCACGTTTCCTCACAGCGTTTATTTGCTACCAAACCTATGGAGTTTCCTAAACTGTGACCTCAGAAGAGCTAAGATGATTGCGAATACGACACAAGGTGGCGGCGATGGCTTCCGTTTTAAGCTGAATAAGTGGCGGCCCTATTATTTTGCCTGCGGTGAACGTAATGGTTTCCACTGCAAGGTTGGACGTATGAAGTTTATGGTGGTGCCATTTTTCCGATGGCGCTATTGATGCATGCAGATTTAGAGCAGCGAATATAAGAATATACAAGGGCTTTAGTGAATAAGATTATTGTAGGAAAGTTTTGGTTTATATGTTTTTTTCATTTGAGATTACAAATTCAGGTTCCAAATAAACCAAAGCTTCGCTTGGGACAGGTTGCGTTGTGTTCTTCCGAGGAATGATTTTCTTTTGATTTTGCTTTGTGTAATGAAATTTGGGGACCAGTTTCCCTATTTAAAACTAAAAATAATATTGGTATATTTTTATTTTTAAAATATTTGTCTGTTATTAAAAATAATTATTTCTGATGACTTGAATTAGAAAATATATTTTCAAATTCATTGCATGCAGATGAAATGTTAAATGTATGACTGAGTTTTGTATCATCTTTACTAGTGAAATAATAAATAAATTGTAACTAGCCTGAACTCCCAAGTGCAGCCTTAGTTTAATTTAGTTAATCATCTTTCAGTTCAAAATAAATAAATAAATACATTTTAACTAAAGTCAGCAAAGAAAGAATGATCAAATTGTTGGTAATTCCAGTGCTTAATGAATTAATTGCTATTAATCTGTTTTATTATTTTTCTCAGGAAAAACATGTCTTTATATGCTTTCAGTCATAAATACATAAAAAAAATGGCGCAATGTAATGTACTATAATATATACACGAATGTCACTAATATATAAGTGATTTATTTCATAATATATCACGATTACAAATTTACAATTGCATCTTAATGAGATAGAAATATTAATATGATATCACATATTATATTAAACACATTTTTTTATAAAAGATTATTTCGTGATAAGTGATATTAAAATAACTCTTTACCTATTTAATTTAAGTGTCCTAATGAATAAGATAAACACATGAACTTTAAAAACGACACGTCTTTCTTCCTTGGTTTGCTGCAGAGCTGTCATTACTACATCACATAAACGTAATACCAGCTGTGCCCCTATCGACGTGAGATTAATAATGTATCGGTACATGCTTTGACTTTTCACGATCTGTTTCAGGTAAACCGGCAAACTTGTAGTGGATAAAAGAAAACACATTTTACAAAAATTTTACACCAACCCATTAGCCCTCGTCTTTACGGCTGACCGACCATGAGATTCATATAATGATATAATCAAGTAAACCATAGCAACTATTTTTAATAGAAAGACCTGTGCACCGTATTTTCCATTTTCAGCCTACCCATATAGGAAGGAACAAGTCAAAAAGTGTCGACTAATTTGGCAAATTTGCACCATGGTCTCCATCTCTAATATAAACATGTCTAATCCCTGAAAACATTCAAGCTTTCAATCTGCTTTTCATCAGTTTCAGAACTTTCCTTTAAAAAACACGGGCTTTACATGTTGGTAAACTTTCCTTAAGGAAGAATAAGACTGATAAAGGGTAATCGATGAAATCTGAAAAGAAACTGATAAAAAAAAGCAGCAATGAATGCAAGAGGGCGATTGCAGTTGGTAGTGATGAAGAAGACATTGATTTGATGCATAAATTAACAGTGGCAAACCAAATAAAGAGGAGACTATATATTATGCGTCACACGTATGCTCCATCATACATGTCCTCTAAAGTAAACAGTTATACAACAATGGTTATCATCGTCTGTAGTTCTAATTATACTTGAGCAGACTTAGTCATCAATGGTGTCGGTGGTGCTTGTTGCTTCCGAAAAGGGTTCAAGGGCTCAGCCTTCCCCATTCTATTAGTAGACAGTGTGTAGGCCTTGAAACCATGTATTTTTAAATCATTTCCTCACATTTTTCGTCTTAATTTCATATAGATAATACATAATTTGTCCCTAAATTATATTTTTTTTCTACTTTAATCCTTTTACTTTTAATTGGAGATGTCACCGTGTTATAATAGACTCATTTGCCAACCATGTTTTCTAATAGGATTGACAATGGTCGGGACTAATCTAATAAAAATAATAACATTTGGTCGTAATCTCAACATGAAAGTTAAAAGGATCGAAATGAGAAAAAACAATATTCTTTAAAGACTGATTCATGCTATAAGTCATAGTTATGTTATTAGTAATTTAGTCACTTGTTAAATAGAGTTACAAAGTTTACATAAACTCAGTGATCTTAATGATAAAAGAGAATGTTATTTTTTCAATAATCTTGAGTTCAAACAGTTACATCTATAGGATGTGTGTTGTCAATTGTTAATAAAGATCTTGAACAGATACAACATTATAATCACTCTAATATATATCATGGTACGCAAAAAAATAAATGAAAGAACAAACATAGAGAAATTGTTTACATACTTTGAACTTAATTTACATCTATGGAATATTATTTAAGGACATTTGCATAACAATAAATCTACTCAAACTATGTTTTATACTCTCAATAAAATAAATAATATATATATATATATATATATGTATAATTTCAATCAAACTAGATTTTCAGTTATCCAATCAATTCAAATTCTGATCAAATCAAGATCAAACTAACAAACTAACAATTCAAATTATATAAAACAAAATATATCTTAATATGTCAAATAGTCAATTACTTCACCAAAAATGAATAAGAAGAAGAATGCAAAATAAATGGTGATAAAGTAAGTAAGCGGTGCAAGAAGATAACTTTGAACAAAGGCAATAAGGAATAGATTCACTGATGGTTTCCCTTTTAAGTTGTCAGAATAAAAAATGGGGTCCCTATTCGGCTATTTCCCCTAACAAAAGTGGGAATCCCGCTTGCAACTTTCTTTCCCTTTTTAATTAAAAAGGATGATAGTGGAGATTTTGATAAAAAGTTTATTCTCACTTTGGTATCGGATTCGTATAAAATAGAACAATTTAGTCTTTAATGGGAAATTATCCCATTCTAAATTAAGGATTTAGCAACAAAAATGAAAAATACTTTTTCCTATAAACTTGTTACACAAATTATATATTATTCGACCAAGGGCTTTCCGGTTACCACATAATTTCTTTTACTAAGGTATCATTTCAATATTCTTTTTTCCCCGAAAATATAATGAGATATTAAATAGGTATAGATCATGTGTAAGATTATAAAAATATGTAAAATTTCTTTTACTAAGTTATCACTTAATTGATTTATTTTTTAATATAATAATTAAATT